CTTAGTGGATTAGATCCAACAAAAAATGTCCAACGATGCGATAATGTCCCCCCAGAAGTGAAGGCATTCATCAGCACATTATTAAAAAATAAAAAACAGCAGAAGGAAAAGATAACACAGGGAATGGAAAATATTCGAGCTGGGCTACGGGGAGAAGTCTATGGCCAAGAGCTTGACAGTGATGATGATGACGATGAGGACGAATGTGATGATGACATGGGACCTGAAGAACGACGCAGTTTGAAACAAGCATTACGTGCCTCCAAACAGTCAGCATGGGAAAGAGAACACCTTCATAAAATTCCTAATAGAGGACAAGGTTCCGGGACAAGTGGTGGTGCACAAATGAGACGGGGAGGCAGTCTTAGAGAATCACAACCAACACCACCAATAGCCCCAAGTTTATATAAGTCATCCAAAGCACGTCAAAAGAGTGTTTGGAGTTATTTCACTAGAGGTAATGTGAAGGAGGGAATGAGGCGTCTAATTAGCAAGTTCTTTATCTATGAAAATGTCCCTGCTGCGAAGGCATCATCACATCATTTCAAAAATATGGTAGTGGGATGTCAACAGGCCGGTGTTGGAGTACAACCTCCCACTCCCTATGAGATAAGAAACAAATATTTGGATATGGAGTATAAAGACATTGGCGAGTATGTTAACAAGTTGAGGTCAAAGTGGGAAACTAATGGTTGCACAATCATGTGTGACGGATGGACCGGCCCGACCAGATTGTCTATCATCAACTTCATGGTATACTCCAAGGGAAAGACAATTTTTTGAAGTCTGTTGATGCTTCAGACCATATCAAGAATTACAAGTATATTTACAAATTATTGAGGGATGTAATCATGGAGGTGGGAGAGCATAATGTTGTCCAAGTCGTGACCGACAACGGTTCTACATTTGTCAAAGCTGGAAAAAAGTTAATGAAGCATCATAATGTGTTTTGGACATCATGTGCAGCACATTGTATTGATCTCATGTTTGAGGCAATGGGGAAGAGAGAGAATGTTGCTACTGTGGTCAAAAGAGCTAGAACGATCACAAATTATATTTACAATCACGGTTGGTTGTTGCCAAAGATGCGTGAATTTTGCAAAGGAGAAATTATTCGTCCAGCTACCACTCGATTCGCCACCAACTATATTGCATTAGACAGCATACTCAAGAAGAAAGCAGGGTTGAAGCAACTATTCACTAGTGACGATTGGGCCAACTACAATTTGAGCCGCTCAAATACAGGTCGTATGGTGGAAAGTATAGTGCTTGATCATGCTTTTTGGACTCAATCAGAACATGTGTGCCAAGTGTTTGAGCCTCTTTACAAAGTTTTACGGATCGTTGACACAGAGGTGTATCCTATTATGGGGGCAGTATATGAGTTGATGTGTGTAGTGAAGGATGAATTGGAAAGAAAACATGGTGCAAGGTGAGTCATAAAGATAATTGAAGACCGATGGTATAACATTATACCATGATTTGCATGCAGCATGTATAAATTATGTCATAATTTTGCAATTCGTTTCTTTAGTTGCATAAGTATTATTTCTCTTATTAGAGTATGTGTTTCTTTGAACAGCATATTATTTGAATCCCCGATACCAATACAGACCCGGTGTTGGAGATGATGGTAACCTTATACGTGCTGTACATAATGTATACTCTAAATTAGACCCTGCATCACTAGCAGTTGGCCAATTTGGAAATGAGGTAAACAATTACTTAAATTATAATAATTACTTTGTTGGATTAAACTAACACGATTTATTGAATTCAGCTAACATGGTTTAAAGATGCAAGAAGAACTTTTGGAGAACCAACATCAGTTGCTGCTCGAACAAATATGTCTCCTAGTGAGTATAAACATATTTCACTATAAGTTTATAATAGAATTTGTTGGAGTTATTAGGCTTATCAACATTGTTTTTCATTGTAGCTGAATGGTGGATCATGTATGGGACCGATGCACCAACTGTGAGAAAGTTAGCAATCAAAGTATTATCACAAACAGCTTCCTCATCTGCTTGTGAAAGAAATTGGAGCACATTTGCACTCATACACACAAAGCAAAGAAATAAGTTGGCTCATAGTAGCTTGGAAAAATTAGTTTATTGCTACTACAACATGAAGCTTCAAATTCGAGATAAGGAAGCAGAAATAGATCATGTCGACCGTGGGGACCCACTAGATGTGTTTGATATTGTTGGTGAAGATGATGATACAGAGGGTAACCAACTTTTTCAATGGATTAGACCTCTTCATCTAGATGATGATGAAGGCAACCCAGCTCCCAGAGTTGCTGAATAAGCACGTAATGAAGGGATAAATGTAGAAAGAGTATTAGAGGAGGAGGTGGGATCTAGCAGCGCTGACTCTTTGGACGAACTTTTGCGCCCAAGACCAAGAAACACTGGAATTCCACCTTCTTCCAATCCTACACAACCACAACATCGTGTTGATACTAATGATAACTTTAGTACAAGATCAGGAGACTCACCTACCACCGGAGGTGGGAATGATGAAGGACATAGTGGAGCTGGAGGTAGTGGAGTTGGAGGTAGTGGTGGTGGATATGGAAACTATTATGGACCACCACCTCCCGGATATATGAGCCCCTTCACTGGTGAGGCAAACTTCACGCATGCAACACATGATGATGACCATGGCAGTAGGCGGGCAGGACCAGGAATTGGTGCCATAGGGAATGACTATACTCGCAGAGAAAGAGGCAAGGGGATTTTGTCAAGTCAAGAAGATGACTCGTTATCTAGAACTTCAGACTCTGTTGGATTGGGAAGTAGTAACTATGGTTATACTCATAACCAACCATTTCCCTACCCTTCATATCCCATTCCTGTTGGGATGGAATCGAGCGACTCATGGAAACAATCCCAGACTCAATCTTCAAATGATTTTTCTTATGGACAACCTCAACCAATCTCGGATCCATATGGGTGGCATGTTAACAATTACATGCAAAACTATTTTGGGGATTTATCATTTGATAACTACTCTTCACAATACACTAATTCTACACGTAGAGATGATGAAGATAGTGAAAATTTTGAACCTCATAGAAACTCTATGTGGTACTAAAGTGTAAAATATTGTACTAATTCATTATATATAAATGATTATGGTGTGTTTAGACTTCTTTCATTAATTACTACATATTTTCTACACTCACAATGTTTGTCAGCTCGCTATATAATCAACTTGATAATGTTAAATCCATCATGCAATGCATTTCTTTCCAATTTTTTGTGATAACTAATAGATAATTGACTAAATAAACATCCTACAAAGTTTCAATAAAAATTTCCAAGTTTTTCTTACAATTTCCGTGGTTTCCATGTAATTTTTATCGATATCGATATTTTACCGATATTTCCATCGATATTTCCGTGTTTTCGGACTACCGATATTTCCGATATTACCGATATTTTCTTCCTTGCATATAAGGCTTACATGATCCACTCTCTTGGACGATGTGGGATGTTACAAAATGTACATTTGACTTTTTCTTTTAACATTCCAATTGTGCATCTCCAATCATGCTCCCTATGTTATAGTAAAGTTTTAGCTAAAACTATCAAATGGTTATTTTAGTAGCTCTCTAAAAAAGTTGTACTCCTTTTTTTTGTTAAATAAATAATATATTAAAAGGGCAAAAGCCCAAAGAGAACAACAAATGAAAACTATGCAAAGAAGAAAATTCAAGGCACCAGCAAACAAAAGGGAAAACCTACAAACCAAAGTCTAAACCACACAGGGAAAGGCAACAAACAAGTTAGAGACTAAGGAGCAACAACATTCTAGTTATGGAAGACCCTTATGTTAATGGTGGAAGGTTTAACTTTCAAAGTACACAATCGACACTGAATCATATTGGTGATCAACTGAAAAACTATAGCAAAAGGTTTCCTACAGTTGTTAAAGATACGGTTATTCCGCTCACATCATATGCAGTAAACAGTGACTTGAGTCATAATGGCTATGAATCAATAATAAGCCAATAAGATTTAATGATTTATTTAAAATAATATTAAAACAATTTAACATTAATTAAGAGAACCACTAGGAGCTCCTTTCCCTCCCTATATTTAAGAGCTCCTAGATGAATTCTTATCTTAGAAGGTGGATAGGAAGCATGATTGGAGGAGTTGATTTTTTTTTTTTTTTTTTTTTGAAATCATCTCTAAATTCTAGTTAGGAGCTCATTCAGAGAACTCATTGTAGATGCTCTAACTATAGCCAATTTTGCTTTTAGATATGAAGCGTTAAGTTACGGAATTTGTTTGATGTTATATCACAAAAATGGTTAGATGATTGAATTTTGATACTAGAAAATCCTATATATCAATACCCAACTAGGAGCAATGTATACCTAAGGATTTTATCTATTATATATAAACTATAAGATAATAAGCATATGTTTCTTGCAGCCCATCTAGAAGAGCAAATATATAAGTGGCAAATAGTCTCCTAGAGTGATTTTTTTATCGCCACCATCTTCATGACTTGACAATTTGAACTTTGAAATGAAGCAGAGAAGCTTCTTCTTTGACCTAGATAACTACCCAACAAAGGAGTGGGTCAGCATGCCATGTGTCGCTAACTGATAGGTTTGCATGAGTTATGGGGAAGAGATCTCATTCGGATCTCTTTCACTAAATCCTAGGGATCCAGAGATTCGGACCCTTAAAATTTGATCTAACGGACAATTATTACAATTTTTAGAAGAACTCCCTATTTGTAACTATTAGATCAAATTTCAAGGATCTGGATCTCCGAATCTCCAGGATTTGGTGAGAGAGATCCGGATAGGATCTCTTCCCATTGTATAAGACTGAAGGAGTGGTGGTATATTTTCCAAGACAGAATGCATACGTTGTACTGAAATGGAGGTAACTACTGAACATCAGATAATCACGCGTTTAAGGCCGCCAAGTTTGAAAAAACATCTATAAGGACAAAACGGTTATATATATACATAAAACCATGTGTTGTAAGCTAATCATAATTAATCGAGAAAAGATTTTTCATTAAGCAGAGATATAAACATTCTCTCAAAACCCTAAATTCAAATATTTTTCTCGTAAAATCTTTACCATGAGTCACTACAACCATGATCATCATCAGGCTCCGCCCACTTCATACCTTCCTCCACCGGCCGGTGCATATCAAGGGCATCTGCCGCCGTCGTACCCTCCACCACCAGAAGTTCAGCAAGGATACAGTACTATAACTCAAGGTGGTCCGTATGTTGTTGTTGCACCACCAGTTAATTACCCTATGAAAAGTGATGGACCTCCAGCTGGATACCCCCAAGAGACAGCTCCCTATCAGCAGCAGCAACAGCCACCAAAATTTCATCACCAACAGAGAGGTGGTGGATTTTGGGCGGGATGGTAATTAAACATTCTCTCTTAATCCTCCTAATTAATTAATTTCTCTGGCAACTAACTATTTCTTATGTGTATATGTTGCAGTTGTTCTGCCATGTTTTGCTGCTGCCTCTGCGACCTGTGCTGCTTGCCCTGCGCAGTAGTTTAATCTTAATTTCAGAAGATTATGAACTGTTTGTAACTATATTGATTTGTATCTGGTTCGTACGTGCACCCACCGGTCCCTCAATAATACTTCCTTAATTCTGTCGATGTTGATTCCGCAGTACATTCTCTTATGTGCAAAGATTTGCAATAGTTAATTAACAAGCAAAAAATATATATGCCAATGTAGGGTAAGTTACAGTGCGAGATTTCGTATGTTGCATTGCGGACTCGGCCACACAAGTCTGTTTGTTGTCTGAGTTCGTGTCTAATTGCAATGCAACATTCGTGTCTAATTGCAATGCAACAAGTCTAAGTACCGTAAGGATGACAAGATTGACAAAGTCAAGTGGCGCAGAAAATTACCAAAATAACGCAAAAAAAACAGTAACACTAATTCCATTAATTATGTTACTTAGTATTATGGTCTAGTGATTTTCTTCACTTGTAAGTGAGAGTTCTTAAATTCGATTCTCTTCAAAGACGAGTTTGAACCATATTATTGCTAGTCCGTAGTGGCTAAGCTCACCCCCTCCCTTTTAGTGTTGATAATATTGTTTGTTAAAAAAAAATAAAAACCTTATCGCATAAGTTCGCGTTTTATAGACAATATTAACATAAATAAACTGATATAATCACATGATAGTGAATGTTACTAGAATGTCTCTATATAGGGTCGTCTTTAGACTCTTTGGGTTGGAGAAATTTATTTTTGCAATCCCAGTAATGTCACCCAACCAATTAATATTTGTCATCCAACCAATTAATATTTGTTATCCAATTAATATTTGTCATCCAACCAATTAAAAAAAATAATAACTATCCAAAAAAACCCGAGACCGTAACTATATCATCATTTTGGCTTTCTGGCTTCCGCTGCCATTGGCATTTTGGCCTTTTTAGGCCCATATTATTTGACCCAAAAAAACCTAAGACCGTACATAATATAAACCCTAATCGCTACGACAGTGGCTCCTCCTCCACCGTGCAGCCGCCAATTTTCTTTTGAAAATGGTGAGTTTTCTGAAGCAGAACCAGGCGGTGCTCCTCCTCCAGGGCCGGTACGCCGGGCGGAAGGCCGTGATCCTAAAGAACTTCGACAAGGGTACGCGCGACAGGCCGTACGGGCACTGTTTGGTTGCCGGGATAGCCAAATACCCGAGCAAGGTGATCCGGAAGGACTCCGCCAAGAAGACGGCCAAGAAGTCCCGGGTCAAGGCCTTCATCAAGCTCGTCAACCACCAGCACGTGATGCCCACGCGCTACAACCTGGACGTCGACCTCAAGGAGGTGGCGACCGTCGACTCGCTGCAGACGCGGGACAAGAAGGTGGCGGCGGCGAAGGAAGTAAAGGCCCGGTTGGAGGAGCGGTTCAAAAGCGGCAAGAACCGGTGGTTCTTTACCAAGTTTAGGTTCTAGAGCAGCAGCCTCAATTAATCTATTCCCGTTTAATCTTAGTTTTTTTTGCCAACTTCACAGTTTTTTAGGAGATGTTTAACTTCTAATTAAAATTATTTTTGAGGATTAATTATAATTTATGATCTTGTTTTATATACAAAGGCACCTGCAATATCCAATGCACCTCTGTTCTTATATTCATGCATCGACCGAGACGCTTCGAGCATTCAGCTCCACATGTTGCTTTCCCTCGTTCCGAGGGTGAACAGTGAGAGTTGCGCAGGCCTCTGCTCCGGCGTCCGAAACCGATACGGAACTCACCACAGGCTTTTCATCGGCGTCTTGGCATTCGGAGATGATTTCCCACTCCTCTTTTACAGATGTTACTTCTCGACCATTCTCTCTGTGCCTCTCCATTTCGAATGCAGTGGGTAGAATCACGTAGTCGTTTACCGGGTTGTAGTACGGGTCATGGTCCACCTTCAACCAGTGCTTGAGTATCCGGAACACATGGCGCTCGCAAAAGAATTCCTCGGTGCTCGCCAGGGACTCCAACCCTTGCTACAGCATCGAGACCATCTGCCTGGAATTCACAGGAGAGCGAAGAATATAAACATTGGCAACTCATACTGACCGAAACAAATTTGAATGAGTGGAAGACCGGTTAAGAGTACGGACAGGGGAGTCGACATACCTTAGCTGATTCTACCGGAACTGTCCCATCACCGTCGACGCATACATACGTAGGCTGATTCAATGCAAAAATGAGTTAGGCCTTGTGATCGTAATCTCCTGGAAAAAATCATACAAACATATCGTGGTAGCACCTCCATTAAAAGATAATAACCTGGAAATAGCGTAGCTGTTGTAGATCTGTGACCGGTGTTTCCTCGTTTCCATAGCTGCAGAGTAGTTGACTTGGATGTTAAATTAAGCCACGATGATAAAAGACATTCGTATCTGGAGGTGTTTTTAGAATGACCTGAAACTTTTATCCTACAATTATCCAAAATAGCAGGCAAGCAGCAGAAGGATTTTATTAAGAGATTTCATGGAGGAATTACCAAACACTATGAGGTGTCTCGAGATTCATCCCATATATGTTGTAGAATTTAACTTGAGGAGGAAGTTTCGCCCGAGATATAATCTTGCGTGTTTCATTAGCCCATTTCAAGATTTCCATATTAAATGGTAGGGGAATATCTTCAACGTTATAATTGACCTGAAATTACGAAAACATGCAGTGTAAGTTTAAATAAGCCATACAAGTGTACAATAAAAGGAAAACCACTTTATAAAGATATCCAGAAGGAGAGAAGAGACCAAGCAACCTCATCTCATGGGAGAGAAGGGAACATGCAAGCAAACTTTTTAACTTTAAATTACATTTTAAAGGAACACCAAATTATATACGGTGGCGCTTACCGTATTATTTGCAAGAGCCTCCTTAAAAATCTGGACGCTCTCTACCAGGGGGTAAGACTCTAGCATAATTTGAGATCTCTCATCACCATCTGGCCTACCTCTCCACATTTCCAAAAGCGGAGGATGTTCCCATTGAAAATCAAGACAAGCCATCAATTCATATATTGATGGGCACTCAATAAGCTGGAAAATTGCAACAAACCTCAATAAGAAAAAAATGAATGCAAAGAAGAAATAAATGTTTGTGAATGCTTTACTATCATATACTTCTACCATATTATGTTATTTTTTGTTTTAATTTAAAATATTTCTCTTTTAACAAATAACTTTCTTCATCCTGTAACAAGATTACATTTTTGTTTCAAATTCCACAGCCCGTAGAAATGGACTCATACCAGTTGGTGCATGCTCCATTTTGATATAAAAAAATTCTGTTCCCACCCGTCAACAAATGACATTCCATTTAAAAAGGTAGAAGTAACATATCCAGGTGCACCTGCACGACAATGAAAAGCCACAAATTAGCTTTTGTTTAATTCTTCACCTTAAAGGTTAAAGCTTTACAAATGAATCAGGAGCAGTATAACAACTGAGATTATACAAGCTATTAGAGGTTGACTTCAAACTAAACTTCAGTTTACATTTTGTTATACAAATGCTAATTGCACATGATCACTTACTTACCCTGGAATGGTGCAGCAATTGCAATCCACTTGTTCACATATTTCTCAAAAACCTGTGAACAAATGGCATCAAATTATAGGATTTAAATTGCAACGCACAAATTAGACCATATTGTTAAGCCGTATTTGATTCAATAAATTGGAAAGGGGATAGCCTGAGCAAAATAAGAAAAGGACAAGAATAACTATTACTTAAGAAGCAGACTGGACGCCTTACATCACTATGCAAGCACATGAAACATTTCACTAGAAGGCCCCCCATAGAATGAGTTATGATGGTTATCTTTTTCCCTCCAGAAGCATTATACACTGCCTCTAGTTTTGCAGCTAAGCGATGCAATGTCTCCTGCAACCTAAACAAAAACAAAGCATAACCATATTGAAAACCTTGACCACGGTGATTACCTAAACAAAGCATACCCTTCACAAATAAATCTTTGGGACTTTAAGTGGCATTCAAATAAACCAGATACCTGTTGCTTTGGCGGAAATCATAACCAAACCCAAAAAGTGTCGTTCCCTCTTGGAAACCCCACTTGGTCAATTCAACAATCATGTCATGGAAATAATATACACACTCCTGTCCAATGACCTGCATGAGACAAACCATCAACATAATTTTATCATTGGTTCAACCTTTCAACCTCACTTCCAGAAAACTACTCAAGAATCAATGAGATCAGAGTTCCAAAAATAAGAAATATAAGCATTAAATACTGTACCAAATTATGATAAGTTTCAATTATTATTTTAACTTTTCACTAAAATCCTACTATATCAGTTTGGCATGTACTGAATCATCTACTTATAACAAATAAAAAGCCAAAGAAAGAGCTTCCACAATTTCTAGAAAGCAAAAAAATCTGAGACTCAGTGGATGGTTATTTGAAGGTTCTAGATTTTAGTTGGGAAGAAAAGGAGTTTCATTTGGTGTAGCAAATTAACAAGGAAAGGAGCAAAAAATTTGCAGTTAAAATTATGAAAAGTAAAGCTGACCAATACATGAGGAAGCGAGAAGAAACAAGGAAACCTCAAAAGAAATCGATAATATAAATCATGCATAAGAAAAAAACAATAGAAAATCGAGGTTGGCTTCTTTAAGTAGTTATGCTTCATACCATGTCAGGGTCCAAGGCGTCGATTGCCTCAAGTCCATATCTACCTTCAGGAACCACTATCCTTGTGTTTGGATCCAAAGACACAGTTTTGCCTGTCTAACAAACAGATCATTATTTCTATTGTTCCACAGAAGCATATGCGTAACTATATAAAATGCATTCATATCATTCCAATCGAAAACCGACTTTCCTATATGCACGTGAGGGACTGCAAGCATGCTTACTACATGACTACTGACCAATGCATTTGAAAGCTTTCCAAACAATTCGAGCTAGAGCTGATGTGTATTTGTGCCCTGCCGTACACCATTGCAGGAAGGGCGCATCGCGACACACATAAATCGAATTGACATTCCTTAAAAGTTAACCAACAGATGCCGGAGCTGGCCTTCAAATTTCACTTTTTCGACCTTTTTATGTATTTGTAAATCGAAAAGAAACAATATTTCTACCTTAATATTTAACCACTATACACAATTCAGCTTCAGAAACTAAATTGAACTATATGACAACCCATATACATGATCAATGACAGGAAACTTCATCATGTAATTACAAATAGCAGACTTTCTCCCAACTCTACAATTTCCTCAGCAACCAAACACAAAGCCACCAAATTTTCTTCCCAGAAGTTTCAAAATTTTCAACGATTTTACCTGTTGAAGGATCGAAACGAGACCAAAGCTTGGTCCGGAACATGTAGTCAGCACCGAGGATTCGAACCCAAACGCGCTCCTCCGCACCACTCTCTTCATCGACGGCGTTCAAGACCGAACCGGCGATGCCCGGAACTAGAAGAACCGGATCGAGATTGGGGTCCACGTAAGGCTGGGTGGGTCTTCTTGATTAGCTTTAACCAGAGCTCCACCGACTTCAGAATATCCTCCAAAAGCATCGCCATTTCCCCAATCAAAGCCCTAAATTTCGAATTTCGATTTGTTCAGAGGTCGAATTTTTCAACTGGAGCTGGAAATTTGATGAAACTTGGGAAATTTACGGCTCCCGAGTCGCGAAGCTCTGAAGATAGCAAAGCGTTAGGACGGCACGCAATTCCGCGATTAGTACGGAAGACGATGACGAGATATGAAGATATGGAACTCGCAAAACGACAGCATGGCAAAATTACTTTAACACGTTCTATTTACGCTCACACGACGACGTATAAAGTTGGATCAGCTTTTCATTAATTTGTGTACTGACAACTCTTTAAAATTAAAAACGCTGGCATTGACAACACTAATAACCTATCTATGACATCACTTGTAATAAAATTATTAAATTTTGTTATTTTAGATTAAAATTACTAATCAACCTTGTAGAAAAGAAGTTAGTCATACAAATACGCATGTGTTTTGAAGTTACTAAGGATCAATCTAATGACGTAGATAATATTTGAATTCTTGATGTAGATGTCACATATTTGGCCCTAATTCTTCAGAAACTGCAAATGTAATGGGAGCATCCATCAACAAAAGGATCATCCTAAGATGATCATCTCATGGTTATTGAGTGTTAATATGTGGATGAGGTCGAAAGACTGAATAGTCAAAGTAGATGGAATTTAGGGTTTAGTATGTATGTATTTTGAAAATAATTTCACTTCTTATACATTTCTACTTGTGAGTTCTTATCCCTATAAAATATACTTAAATCTACTCTTATCAACTATATGAAAAATTTTCAAGAAAAATGCTAGGGACTACAGTTTGACACCTTACACTTTAACGTCAATTCTCGTATCAACATTATAAAACATTATGTCAAAATATAAGATTTAATTTTTAGGTTTTTATAAAATTAAAAAAAAGACTTTTGATACTCTTTATTTTAAGGAAAACTAATGAAAATGACTTGAAAACTTTGAGTTTTAATCAAAATAACAAAAAGATGTTGTAAGTGAATAGTACCAGGAGTGATATTTTAGAATAAAATATCATTTTCGTTAAAAGTGAATAATACCAGGAGTGTTTCGTTAAAACTTTTTTATTTTAATTCACAAAAGAATAGTGACACATAGATATGACAATAACATTCATAAATTTTTTTTGTCAAAATTTACAAAGAATATTGAGACATTTTTTAGTGCATTGATATTTTTACGCTAAGAGAACGAAAAGTTCGGCTAAGCCACATAATAAGCAGCGTAATTTGGTATTGAATTCGCCATCCACGAGATTCGAACCTACGATCTCTCACTTCAAAGTGAAAAAGAATACCACCAAATCGTAGTACTGAGTGACGAGACATTAATTTTTATTTCCAAGAAATTTATCATTTTGGCGGTAACCCTTTTCCTATAGAATGTAGCGTTTAGCTTTAAAATTATAATATGAATTCCAACAAATAAAAAAGATAAAAATTCATCAAATTTAGAATATTCTAATAGGAAAAGAGGGGAAAAAATAAGGAAAAATAATTAAAAAAATTTAAAAACTTTGAGTTTTTACGATAAGGACAAAATAAAGGGTAAAATAAATAATACCATAATTAACTTTTTAATGTAAAAATATGATTTTTCGTTAAAGTAAACAGTAGCTTTTTGTTAAAATTCCAAAAAAAAATAAGCATATATATATTTGTGGTATTTTGCATTTGTGGCTGCAAGTTGCAACCACACTTTCAACTTTGTCATCCACTAGAGCGAGAAATGCTGCTTACATCTCTGGTATCTAATAGCCCTAATGGTACCTTTTGCCTCCCAAAGGTAATCTCTCTCTCTCTCTCTCTCTCTCTCTAATTGGCAGATGAAAATTCTGAAATTTGAGAAAGTAGAGTGTGTTCTTATATACAGGGTGCAGTGAAGCAAGGAGGAGGACACAACCCAATTCCTCAAAAGCAAGAAGAATGGAAGTTTCTCAAGAGCTTGGCTCCTCCCTTAATGGCTGCAGTTCTGACTTTATCTCCACTCTCAATCACCCCTGGTAAGTACCAAGTTGCGGTGACCACAGACCACCAAACAGTACTTATCACTTGTTGTAGGTTTTATCCCTCCAATTAATGCATATAAGTTTAATAACTCCTGCATTTCCCTCAAATTTCCAAGATGCCATGTTTTTTCCAGTGCAGTAATGTTTTGGTCTTAGATAAAGTAGTAGTTGGTCTTTAGATAATATAGCAGTACATGGTTAATCATTTGAAATAATGTAAAGTTGTGTGCTTACTTAATGATAGTTGTGTTAGAGAGGGATTCGAACCCAATACCTGTTACAGGTAAAAGGATAGAGATCGAAACGAGTAAATCTTGTGAATATGGTTTCATAGTTTTACTTTTGTTTTTTAGGGTTTAGGAGTGCTGCCATTTGGGAGCTTTGATTGTAATTAGTGTAGATTGCCTTTGTTGGACTCGTAGAGGCTTTTTTATGGTTTAAAATAAAATACTTTATCGAATTTTGTTGTCGTTGTTGTGCAGTCTCGCATGCGCAAGCCATTGATGTTCAAAGAGGAGCTGCATTGTTTCGTAGAACTTGCATTGGATGTCATGATGCAGGTGGAAACATAATACAACCAGTGAGCCTCCATTCACCAACAAATCTCGTATATAGTTATCGCTCAAAATCTTTGTTATTTCTTACTGTGTCTTCTTTCCAGGGTGCAACACTCTTCACTAAAGACCTACAGAGGTAAGGCGGCACAACCTCCGTCAATTGTTTAGTTAAATGCATGCATTTCAACAAGATTTAATTAGCTTCTGAAAATGAAGATGAATAAGGCAATACTGATACGGCTTTCAAAACCCTTTGAGTCACTGATTTGTATTCTCTGCAACCGATACTGGAGAATATTGTATGTTGATGTCGTTTCAAGGCATTTATGCGCAATTTGATCTAGCCCTGTCATCTTGATTAAGGAAATAAAAAACAAAGAAAGGCCATGTTTTACATTATCACCTTTCATAACTTGGACCTGTTTCAGAGTTTGAACCAATTGATATTGATTAAGTGCAATAATATGATATCACTTTCATCGTTCTTAAATTAATTAATTGATAATTTGAGCATTTTTCTTCTCTAGAAACGGAGTTGATACAGAAGAGGAGATATACCGTGTTACTTACTTTGGAAAGGGAAGAATGCCGGCAAGTTTTTCTAAATCTAATTTGAAAACTTTGCCTCCTAATCATCATATGTTTGCACCTAACTTAAGATAGTGTATGTATCTTCTGTGAATTTGCAGGGTTTTGGTGAGAAATGCGCGCCAAGGGGCCAGTGCACTTTTGGAGCTCGTTTGCAGGATGAAGAGATAAAGATTTTGGCTGAGTTTGTGAAATTACAGGCTGATCAAAACTGGCCCAACATTTTAATTGAAGACAAATGAGTTTCTGAATTCAATTAATGCTGACTCAAGTTTTCGGTAAAGTGCTTCTTTGTGTAGTTGCATATATTCAATCACTACATATAATTTAGAGTAGTTTCATATACTCTTAGACTCTTGATTTCAATCTGAATCCTTTATGCCAACTATTAAAAAATGAACACCAGTAGACATAATCCGAAGTTTGACAGAATTCAAGTTAATGCTGTTCTATATGTAGTGAAGAATCGATGAGAAACAAGGCCCTTGCAAGTTCTGTAATGGAATTTCAACGGATATCTAGCGCGAGCACTGTTTTGATTCAGTCTTCTTACAACCGTGAATTCTATGGAGATATTGATTTTTCGAGCTCAATCAATCGCTAAATATGATGTGTCCTACTAGGAAATAGAGCATGTATGTTGTCAAGGCATAAGGATCATATTTTGGAACCTTTGCTTCCAAATTGGACCATGGAAAATGTTGGAAGAGTAGCTTCTGCTTTGCTAGTGCAGAGTATTAGCTGCAGTATTCTTGCTATTCTTGCTTACACACATTTCACCTTTTGTTTATTGGTATTCTTGCTAATTTTAACTTGATCAATCTGTGCTGCAACATCTTCCATTGAAGTAGATGACGACTTAATTTTGGGCACTAGCTCATGGAAAATGACTTCCTCACACCCCTGGAGTACTACGCTGGCGGTATCAAATCCAACTCACGTCCCTGACTTGGGATGTCATGTTTACAGTATTGAAATCAATTACGCATTGTCATGTGGGTTGGTCCAAGGGTAGTGGTAGAAATTTCTGTTGGATTGGTTATGATAAAATTTTGTGGGAAAGGAAAGGGCAAATGAATGGGGTGGGCTAAATGTCAAATGCAATTAGAGGGCATGAATGGGTTTCGTTTTGTCTTTCTAGTCATATGCGCATGAAGTGCTTGGTTTGAGTGGTGGAGGATGATCCAACCCAAGTTATCTTTTGTGCCCCAATTATGCAAGATCGAAAAAGTCCCAAGCCTATAAGACATTGAAATACATAGCAAGGAAAATGATAATCACGTTTTACTGAAAAAAAATATAAACACGCGTCATTTTTCTTTTCCGACACACTTTTCTTTGCTTCTAGATATTGGTTTAAGTAAATGAACCAAAACAATGAGCAAGATTTAATAAGGGTATGTGGGAGAGAGAAGGGATGTGTGTGGTTATCATTTGTCGTTTATCATTCTTGATTCATACCTTTAGTGTTACATCTCACACATCAAGTGATAAGTAGACAAAGAGATTAGAGATGTGTTGCAATTAAGTTGTTTCTCTTGTAAGAGATGAGGACTTCAATGGAATAGATATATTGTCACAGCATCATTTCGTATTAATAATACAATAATATGTGTAAGTTTCTTTTCACATGACGTTGTATCATTACTAGAAATATTAAAGTAATGGTCTATCCATTCCATATAAATTATACTCGTAAGAGATACTAACCTAAAAAATTAACTTGTGAAAGAAGAAAAGGGATTTCCCACTAAAAATGTTGAGAAATGCTAATTCTACAAGAAGGAAAACCTCAAAAGGAAAATAGATAAATAAATGGGAAAGGGAGGAAGCTAATTGAAAATTCTGGTTATATATCTGGTGGAATCTATATATAAAGCCAATGTAAAAGGTGAATAGTGATTTTGGTGTCACCAAGTTTCAAAAAAAATATTTGGACAAAAATACCCCCAAGACAAAAAACTTCAAAGGCATCCCAAAATAATGCATCAAATAAGGCAGAAGCATTTTCGTCATTTTAACAGTGCTTTTTTTAATAATTAATTTTGTTGTTTGTTTGTTTTTTTTAATTAGTAATTCACAATAGGCTAGCAATAATGTGATTCAATTTCTCTATTTTTAAACATGTTCAAAACATCTTAAGAGGCGTGTAATGCTGGTTATAAAAAGGCACGCGGATAATAATTGATTAAATTAATTGTCAAATGATTGTTTTTTTTTAAGAAACAATATTATCTGCACTAAGGGAAGGGAGTGGGGCTAGCTTCACAATAAGCTAGCAATAATGTGATTCAACCAATTGTTTATTAAAAATTATTTTCTCTATTTTAAACACGTTCAAAACATCTTAAGAGGCGTGTAATGCCGGTTATAAAAAAAGTATTTCGCATGCAGTTGATAATGTGATTAAAATAGTTGTCAAATGATTTTTTTTTAACGAACGATATTATTTACACTAAGGGAGACGGGGTGCGCTTAGCCTCATAATGAGCTAGCAATAATGTGATTCAATTAGTTGTTTATTAAATATTATTTTCTCTATTTTTAAACACGTTCAAAACATCTCAAGAGGCGTATAATGCCGGTTATAAAAAAAGTCTTTTGGACGCGGATAATAATGTGATTAAATTACATTAAATTAGTTGTCAAATGATTTTTTTTAACAAATGATATTATTTACATTGAGATGGAGGGGGTGGGCTTAGCCTCACAATAGGCTAGTAATAATGTGATTCAATTAGTTGTTTATTAAATATTATTTTCTTTATTTTTAAACATATTCAAAACATCTTAAGATGCGTGTAATGACGGTTATAAAAAAAGTATTTTGCATGCGGATAATAATGTGATTAAATTACATTAAATTAGTTGTCAAATGATTTTTTTTTTATAACAATTGATATTATCTACATTAAGAGGGAGGGGGTGGGCTTAACCTATCAATAGGCTAGCAATAATGTGATTCAATCAGTTGTTTATTAAATATTATTTTCTCTATTTTAAAACACGTTCAAAACATCTTAAAAGGCATGTAATGCCAGTTATAAAAAAAATCTTTCGCACGCGGATAATAATGTGATTAAATTAGTTATCAAATGATTGTTTTTTTTTTTAACAAACGATATTATCAACACTAAGGGGGAGGGGGTGGACTTAGCCTCACAATGAGCTAACAATAATATGATCCAATCAATTGTTTATTAAATATTATTTTCTCTATTCTTAATGTAAATTCTATATAGACCGATTTTATTATGTGAATTAAACTGTTTTAATTGGTTCATGAGGAGTGTATTATAGCATGATCTAATATTATTCATTTACTTCAAATATTTGATTTTCTTTTTGTCAATTTACGCATATAAATACACTTAAAACGTGTAAGTTATGCGTAACATATCGTGATTCAAAAAATATCTTCTGCACGCGTAAACGCGTGCATGAAGGCTAGTGAATGAGGATACGGGATGTGCCTAACTAAGTTGAAAAGTTTGCAGCAGCATACATATGGTTTTGACACGAATCCTAGATGACAGTGCAATCAAGTTATTCCGAACCATGTCACTTTGATTAATGCACTTAATAATAATTACCTCATACGTTGGTTTGGACTAAACTTGTTTGCCATGGTGGTACTCACATAAACCATCATTACCAAAATGATGATATGTTTAGCATAGCAAACATGGAAACGTAACCACTTTATACGTGCCCCCCACCACGTGGAACGTCACCAACTAATGGCCATGTCTCATTAATTTAACCAAACAAAATTAAATAAATAAATAAAACTTAAATGTGATCAAACGACTGGATCTTATGCAAGTAAACAAATTAGGTAGTTCCGGCTATCTAAAATAATAGCTCTCTCAGTTTAATGAAAATTTTCTTTTTAATGTTATAAAAGATCATTACGCATCGTTATCTAATATTTAATTATTACTCTTAGATGCAATCGTAGCAATATTTTAATCAATCATAAACTATTGCTACATAGTACTGCGGTGTAGTGATATTTCTCCTTATTTGTAATTGAGAGGTCTTAGATTCAATTCTCGTCAAATGCAAATTTGAAACACATTATTGCTAATATATTGTGAGGCTAAGCACATCTCCTCCTCCTTAGTATAGATAATATCGTTGGTTAAAAATAAAAATTAAAAGTCGATCATAAACTATTATGATCCAAGATTATTCGATTTATATTCACTGCTGTGATGGTTGTATTAACGAATAATAATCCTTAATTGTACTCTTCACATGAGTTTAATTGCTGCCGACCTAGCTCTTAGCTAGTCTAATAATAGAATGGTCCTCTGCACACATTATTTTTACCAAAACTAATAGTATATGTTAGGCTGAAGATTTTTTTTATTAATTAAGTAGTAGTTGCACCAGCTCATTGCCAAGTTCCAAGGTGATCAAGGAAAAAAATGAGATACTTCAGAGTCTTATTCTCTTAGACTTAATGGTTCAAAAAAATGGCAGTCACATTCAATTTTAATCCAACAATAAGAAAAAGTATAATAACAAAAGTTAAATGATCACCTACCGTTGAACTAAGATTGGGCGGTGAGTGACCTCCATTTCCATGTAAATCTCAAGAGCTTTGAGATTTTAATTAAGTTCTACAGCGCTGCCTATGGGGTAGTTAAGCTCTCCCTCTCACTAAACAATCTTGGTTATATTATTAATAGCAACTACTCAAGTCATAGAGGTCACTGTGATGCAGTTAACAAGTCACACTAATCCTCTTTTAGTTGTTGTTACTTTTAAAAAAAAAAAATTAAGGGAGAAAGATTCCAAGCATGATGAGTAATGGTCCTATCAGGATCAGCAGATAAGACAACATAATCCATTTTTCCAATGAATAAGATGAACAGAAATGTCAAAGAGGAATACAAACGAAAGAACTAATATAGGTGGCACAACCTGTCATATATATGCGATGTGTGCATGTCCTCTCCTGTTGTTCACTTAGTGCCACTTGATTCTGGCTTCATGCACGGAAATTTCATCATGATCCACCTTTCAACTAGGAAAAATGAAATTCAATTATTATAAGATGAGAGCACTCCTCGTTTATGGCAATTTCAACTTCAATTTCGTAATCTTTTGTTTTCTCCAAATTTTACAATCTATTTGTTCGCTTTTTATGTGTAGTTGGATCGCTGGAGACTAAGTTACAGTCCATGAATCGGTCAATTGTTCCAAAGCTTCTTTATGACGAGGTGCGATGAATTCTAATTAACTTAAGATTTTAGTTATTTTGCTTGGCTTTGGGTTATATGCTTAAATTTTAATAATGTGTGCCGTTTTAGTCATGCGGTTTGCTCCGCATCGGATTCAAGTCTTGGATATACTTTGAAGTTTATCTAGTTTTCTACAGAAAAGATTATAAGAGGACACATTAATAAAATGGTTGAGGACATATAGAAGGCAAATTTCAATGGGAAAACATGCACGATCGTAATTATATGACAACAAGGGCTTGAATCTTTATATATACCAATTTGTGAAGCATTTTCACCTTCAAGTATATAGACGAGATAATGTAACCTAGAAAATGATTCTACACCACTCTTAATTAATAAATATGAGAGAAACTAATAATAATATAGAAAAAAGGGAACAAACAAAACCCATCTGCATCTGCATCTGCATGCAACAACTGCTCCGTCATGAAATTGGCAACAGAAGTGGCAAATAAAACCCTAAGTTTGGAATATATTGCTTTTTATATTTTACAACCACCACTACTATCTACCTAATTGATTTATTTTTTTTTTGAGGCCCGAACCTTAATGAAATGAAGCAGTGGATCTGGATTCTCCCCCATCCCATTTTTCCTCTCTTCCCTTCCTTTCTAATTGAATGCTTAAGATTAAGTCACATCATCATTTTGTTTTACCTTTTTTTGTAGAGAGAGAAAGAAGAAGAGAAAATTGCAGAGAGGAGGAGAGGGAGGGGAGGGGAAAGAGAGGGGAGGGAGGGAAGGAGAAAAGTAAAGGGAGAGAATCCAACTCCGAAGCAGTAATACCAACTCTTGGAGCCTAAATTTATATAAAAAAAGAAAGTGACCCTATCCATAATAAACACTATATTAAAAAGCTGTGGTCCTTCCTTCCCATTAGGACTTGTCTCTCTGCATGTCATTGTAGTTGTCAACCAAAGACAGAGGAACCACCCAAAGCTAAAGACAAAAGGAGGACACTAGACTCGATCGATCAATTGATTCCACCAACCAGGCCAATTCTTGCCCTTCGTATAAATAAATATTGAACAACAGATATTGAAATTGCAGTGTTGTAGGGACCAAGCGGCTATAAGCACATGCATGGTCACATATTTCCTCTTACTAGCTGCTAAAACTGATGAAGATCAGTAATTAACCCCATTAACTAAGTCTTGGTTATTGTGAAGATCAATTGAAGGAGGACTTGAAAGAAAGGATTTGGATTTCATAACAATGCTAAATTTGCTATTTACATAAACTAGAAAGCATGTAGATGTAACATGAATTTGAAATATCTATATGCATGCAATAACTTATTTGAAATGAGTTAATTTCTCAGTCAAACCTTCTCGTTCTGCTTTCTCTATTATTCTTCTCATCTTGCATGACCAAAATTGTCTTCTTTGTAGTTCATCTTTACAAATCAACTCTACAAAAATTCAATTAAATCAGAAATCATTCAAATGTTAGACTAATGATGTAAAAAATCAATATTTAACAAAACAGCATGGTTCTTATATTTGTTAGACAGCTGAAAAATGCCATATTTGGTTTTTTTTTGTAAAGTTGATCTTTAAAGAACCTAGAAAATAGACGGTTTAGATCATCGTGCGACATTGCAACATATGATGGAGAGCCGAGAAAATTCAAATGAGAAGGTTTACTAGCAATCCTTATTCGAAGTTTGCTAGCATTCCTCATTCGAAATTGATTTATATCTTGTCTGCCTTTTCTTCTTACTCCAATTTTCGATTTGTGAATTGTAATATTGCAAATTTAACCATATAACATTTATCTGAATCCTTAAATTTGTTATCCCCATCCATATGCCCCTTAAAGGGTTTCTCATACATGCCACAAACTTGGTAGTGATTATAGAAATGTATTGAGATGGGTAAGGTCTATTAATTGTCACCATCCTACTAGTTATGGATGGAGAAAGCCTACACCAAGCTTTGAGTAAAAGACACGCCTAACTTAACAAAGCAAGCATGCTTGCTCGTCAACTTTTCAGACCAAGAGAAAAGCACGCTTAACTTTTCAAACTTCTCTTTTGGCTCAAATATTAATCTGAAATTATCACATCTATCGCTGGCTCCCTGCAGCTGCATTCTATATATATTGATAAAGACTGTATAATCATCATGAATAATTTGATCAGAAATATTTTCTTTCCTTGTATATCATCATGAAGAATTTGATCAGAAATATTTTCTTTCCTTTTAGAAGACTCTATAATCATCGTGAATAATTTGATCAGAAATATTTTCTTTCCTTTAGAGTTTGGTAATCCAAGTCAACTAGATTGAACAAATTTGATATATCCTTTAACCAGCAGAATATATATTGCCCTATAAGTCAAGAGTTTTGACTACACAACGAATCAATTTTCTCTGAGCTTGAAAAATAATCTGGGAAAACAAGAAAAATATAAGAAGATAGGGTTTTAATATTACACTTGTGAACAGAACATGGTGGTCCCTTTTTCGTCTTTAAATATATTCATTTATAATGTGCTATAAACTAATAATGGAGAGAGAGGGTTCAGGTCTATAGCTGTAAGGAGGACAAAGAAACTCAAAAAATAAAAACTCAATATCTTAATGCTAGAGTATACAGAGGAAGCGAAACTTAAATGACACAGGTAAATTATTAACGCGACGTCTTATATCAATGATAATATATAATGTGTAAATTTTTATATTTACATGCCATTATATTATTGACACGAAATGTCATAGTAACGCTTTACTTGTGCGATGTCATGTAAGTTGCTGTAGAGGATGAGGGATAGAGAGAGGGATAGCTAGAGGTGCATAAAAGCTATCATTTATACAGAGATGAGGGAAGCTAGCTAGCTAGATAGAATAATCTAGAGAGAGAGAGCCAGTAGGATTGTCACGAGGCTCCTCCCTCTTTCTCTTACCTAAAATATGCACGCCTCTCTATATGTAGGCTAAGCTGAGAGTGAAATTCTGAAAAGCTTCAGCTGTTTCCTTAAAAAGTTCCAACGAAGGCCAAACCTTTATGCAGCTTCTTGGTTCATCTTTCTTCCCTTGTCTGGTTTGTTGGTTTGAGAGCTTGAAGCTGCCAGCATGATCTGGTATACATAACTATAGCTATCACATATATGTATATATATCAATGGTGTTCCGCATATATATACTTTAGATCTTGCACCACCATTTTTTATTTATACAGATCTTGATTATTTCATGTTTTTGGATAAAAGGGTTTTTAATTTTTAGTCAATTAACCAAGAGAGTAATTGGCATCCTGCTAATTACAATTTTTTCTTTTTCTTTTTCAATAAAAAATTATACAGATTGATCAGAAGCCTGTTTTTAAAATCTTGTATTCATATTTTCAATTAGCTAGATATAACACACACACACACACACACATATATATATATAGGATATTCAACCAGGTCATCTGGCAGCTTCAATCACTCACTCATCAACAATAGAAAATGTTTCTGAACTAAGAACACAAGGTCTCTTGTGGTGAAGGATTACACTCATCCCAAGACAGCTTTGTTTGAGGTATTTATTTCTGCTTCTTTCTCTGTGTCTTGGATGGTGCCAGCATTTATCTTAGAATTAGCATATGCAGAACAAATTTCATATTTTAAGACATAAATTAAACAAGGAATTTTAAGAGTGTATATTGAACTTGTTTTTTTTGGTGGCCTGGGGGGATAATCTTAGTGTACTGTCATCAGATCAGATCATAGAGTTAGGTGTTCTTCAAGAAAGCTAATATATAAAAGATGCATGCTTTTGGTAATTTAATTAGAACTCTAGTATGATTCATCTTATTTCAAATGGATTACTAACTAGTCTGATATTGGAATTAAAATGTTATCTTGTATTCAAATTTTAGCATTCATCTGTTAGATTTTGTGATTGTAATGTAGATATTATACAGAAGTACCTAATCCCATAAGCCAGATATACAATTACAAAAATCCATCTGTTCATTTTTTTTAAGCGCTTCAAATTTGTTTGATCTTTCCCAATTATCCTAGCCGGAACTTGTACGCAGCATTTATATAAGCTAGGGAAAATGAACTCAAGATCTTAGGTGCAAGGTGAATTATATTAATTGTCTTAGCCAACTGAGCTACAAATTTCTTACATGTTTTGTTGTTCATTTAGTGTGTTTTGAATAAGTTTTTGCATGTAGAGTACGTGTGTGTGTGTGTATATATGTATATATAATTACTGTTTATCTATCAACGAAGAATAGTAGCAGACTAATGATTCTATTTTTTTTAATTTGTTTATTTTTTATTTTTTGAGTTAGTGAGAAGTCCTAAGGTGTTGAAAGCAGCACTTGTTGATTATTGTGCATCTTATCTTCATAATTCAATCATAATTTAAGTACCATCTCTAAAGAAATGCATGCTGTTTGTTTTTTTTGAAACGACTGAACATGCATCCTTGCCCAAAATGATTAAGTGGAAATTAATCATCATTATGTCCCTGTTAAGTCCCTAATCTGTCTATCTTTCACTGGGCTATCTTCTCAAGATTGTGAAAAACTTTTGTTCATTAATCCGATAGTCAGTAAAAGCTTAATTTGTTACTTCAATAGAAGTCCTGCGAAGTCCCCTCTACCAAAGCCTTTCTTTCCATTTGTAGTTACATGTATTAGCTTTGCAAAGTGGCAAAACATTAGTGGTCCAATAGGATTATTGGCTTCTCTTTTTCTCTCTCTCTCTCTTAATTTTGGTGCAGGGTTACATCCCTTGGAATATAAAAAATCAAAGATTGTGGTCTGCTACAAAAACTCAGTGGCTCATTTGATGATATGATCGTTGGATTAAATTTAGTATTTCTTTGTAGAATCGTATTTGTTAAATTTTTCACTACAAATGAATGTTTTAGTGATCTTGGGTTTGTCGAATTTTTTGCAAGGATGATCTATAAATAATGTACTAAAATATAGATGGTTTAGATCGTTGTAATACATTACAAAGTGAATCGTACAAAATAAGTGTCAAATGTATATCAAAAGCATAGATCACAAGATCCTGACTATATATATATTTACAGCCTCCCTAAAGCATGTATCAATGCACCTGAATTAATCATCTGAATCCTCCGAACTTGGATCAGAATCGGAAGCCTAGGAAGTCCTGGAAGCCTCCTTGATCCAGAGTCCCTCCACCTCTTCTTCCCATGGCGCGTGACCTGGAACCATCCTTTGATCCCTTTGATTTCCAAAATTCACCTTCATCATCCGATTTGTCGCCTAAAACCCTAAATGCACAGTGTCCACTTTTTCCCACAGAAAAAGGCCCCACAAGTTCTCCACTGCCATCATCCTGTGACAAGGATTACAAATTGATATTTTATACTACTCTAATTTACGGAGTGAGGAATTCAAACAAATTGTAGACACTATACGAAATGAAGATTACCACTGTAATTCCCTATATTGGCACATTTACCAAGAAAAGAAACTAGCAAAGAAAGAACTTACAAGGTTTCTTATTATGAATTCTACCTTTCTGCACATCCACCAAAAGTAGAACAGCTTGATCTTCTTGTGCACAGCACATGAAAAGGGCCAACAACCTCTATCTCCACCACAGCCATTTCTTCTCCTTCATCAGTGATTGGTTTCCCTCCACTTCTTATGCATTTTGCTTAGCAAATTCAGAGTTATGTGAGAGACAAATAAAACTCAAGGACTAAACTAGCTAGCAAGAACTTACAGTTAAGGGTCTATGATATTGGGCATCTTCATCATACCTGCACACAAATACAATGGAAGATGATCATCTTCCAAAATCTCTCTGTTACATTTTTTGCGATCAACTCGGATGTGGTAACGGAGGGAAGGGTTCTCCAAGCCGCGTTCTGGTCACTGAAATGTACAGAATGAGCCGGCGAGTTCTTGGCATAGTGCCTAGTTTGCAGTGCAAAATGTACCTTAACCAACACTTGTGACCTCTCTCTCTCTCTCTCTCTCTCTCTCTCTCTCTCTCTCAATGAGTACTTCAAAGCACCTGCATATGGGGACTCATAATTCTGCTTCTTATTGGGGCTCCATTTATTAGTGAAAGAGATCAAACAATTTTAAACAATTAAGCTAGCTTCCCCTAAACTGCACGGTAATAATGGAGGGCTCCAACGACTCATTAATCCTTCTGTGTATGTAACATGTTATTTTGCCGAATTTCCACTGCCATTTCTTCTTTCTCTTCCCCCTTTATGGAGTTCTTTTCCTTGGACCATGCATCAAGAAATGGACTGCAGTTGGCTTCTGAAAACGGTAAAAACCTGCTACACTGTGTTCCTGGAAATAGCAAAACCTTGCCACGCCATCCATGTCAACTTTTTTTTTTTTTGTTCTTCTTCTTCTTCTTGCTTTCTTCAATGAAAGGGTTAGGTGTGAAAACCCCAATGAAGATCTTCAACTCCTTTCGGTTCTAGTATTCACATATTTTCATTTCTAGGGTTGCACAAGTTCTTTGGTGAGCATTTGGATTTGTAGTGCTTAATTAGAAATATTGATCTTTTTGCTGCCCTTGCATGCATTTCAGAAGGCTGTGAAATACAAATGAAAATGCCTATAGAAGTTGAAGTACCCACCAAAGTCACATGTTTTCCATCTCTTCCTCCTTTGTCTTCTTTCTGGTACAAGATCAATATTCTTTATTTATTTATTGAAAACAAGATGAATATTCAAGCAGAAAAACACGACATGATCACACATACCTCCATCCAACCTAAATATTTGATTTGATCCAGGAATTTTTATGAATTAGGGCTTCCAGTTTTCACAGAGAGAGAGAGAGACGCGAGCTCTTTCTGTTTTTTTTTTTAAAAGAAAAAAAAAATGGTAAATCAAGTTGGAAGAGGAAACGACACGAGTTTACGAACTCAGGTCTCTCTCGATACAAACACAACAACAAACATATCCCTAGCCGTCCGCTTTGGAGGCAGTGGCAACCCCTAATTCTTCTCCTTCTTTTCTTCCCATTCTCTCTTATCTCAGTTTTTTTCTAACAAATAAAAATACTCAACTGGTAAATGCATCAGATTTTTATGCAAATGTAGAAGTACTTGATGAAGTCGTCTCGACAAAATAAGTGATTAGCGCACGTTTCGAATGGGGATGCATTGATGGAGTTTCATGGGTTAATTACACTAAACACCTAATGAGGTTTTTTGTGTATTCACAAAACTCCTTCGAGTTTGAGAAAGTACACTAACATCCCAAGAGATTTTAATTCAATTTCACATTACCCTTTAAGGACAAATTTACCCTTGTAGTCAATTATTGAATAAATAAAAAACTTGTATAACTACAATTGTTGATGCACAAAATTGGAAGGTCTTGGGACTACGTAAATCCGACTGTGAATCTGCAAGAATGTAAAGAACACAAGATGTATCGTGGTTCACCCCAATGTTTGGGCTACGTCCACACTGATGTTGATTGTATTTCTCTGTATGAATGTATGGATTACAAGCATGAGGGGGAGTCCCCCAGAAAAAGAGAGGGTTTGAGAGAGCTTCTCTGTGAGGATGAGAGCTCTAAATATGAGAGCCTCTGTTTGGGGATGTGAGGCATGAGGATTGTGAGGGTGAGGAGTCCCTTTTATAGACTAAGGGATCCTCCCCTTTTACATAGATCATGAACTCAATGTCTGGAAGCCCAAGTAACAAGGCTCAATATAATATGGTACTAACAATAATATTTATTAAATTTCTCTGAAAGGGGTAATGTGAAATTGAATTAAAACTTTAGGAAGTGCTAATGTAATTTTTAAACCTCAGGGTGTTAATATGATTAACCGAATTGAAATATAGGTCAGGGAAGGTTGAAATGCATTTATAACTCCTTACTTTAAAAAAAATAAAGAAAAAAGCAAAAAAAAAGTGCAAGCAATCAAACAATTTAAAACTGATATCATGCATATATCCTTCAAAGTCCTTTCTTTTTTTGTTAGTGGTCATCTTGCCCTTAAATTTGATCAACGATAGAAATTAAAACGCCAAAAAGCACACTTACTCATCTTCCACCCTTGATTTCAAATCTAAAAAGTAAGTGATCATATATTCTTTGATCACCTGATGACTAGGAAAACATTTCTACTATGGTTGAAAAATCTCATCTGCTTTTTACAAGCAATAACGCTGACTAATTTCTTCCGGTACTGACAAGGATCACTTTACTTCCAATTCACCACAATTTGCTGAAAATTTGAAAAAGATGACGTAAGAGCATATGTCAGTGTAACATTCAACATCCAAGATTTTTGAGTTTCCATGGTATTTAAGAGGGATTTGGATCCTCTCCTGAGCTTAGAAGGCTGAGCCTTCTGAGCAAAGCATACGGACCGTTGAATTTTGATTCAATGGCTACAAGTAGAAGGATTTTTTAAAAGTTATAATAATTGTAGTCATTGGATCAAAATCCAACGGTCCGTGTGTTATGCTCAGGAGGCAGCCGCCTAAGCCCAGGAGGCAGCCTCCTAAGCTCAGGAAAGGATCCAAATGTATTTAAGAGAAGCATGATTGAAAAGGACATGCCATTGCCAAACAAATTAGACAATGTATCAATTGAAACCGCATTTACAAATGAATCAAGACCTCTCTGGATCTCTATGCTTGGAGTTTAAGGACTCAGAGATCTAAGCCGTTGAACAGAAAGAGATTTGGATCCTTGATTTGTGAGTGAGCTAGTAGGATGAACTAATCGAGGCCATAGGATTGAAATTAAGTGGTCTAAATCCCTGTCCGCATGCTTCGGACAGAGTGATCCAGAGAAGATATCAATTCTACAAATATAGCCACAATGTGAGTTCAATTATGACTACTACTAGTCTACTAGACTTAACGAGATACAAACAAATGGTGTACTCCACCATGCTCCCTCCTCTTTCTACCATCAAAAAGCGACCTTCCAAACTAACCTCGCTACCCGAATGTAACATTTTACATTACGTCGGATTACAATAGCTGCTTATACTCCCACTTCAGGGTGCTAATTCTATAAGGATATTCACTACAGCGGCACAAATCAAAAGTAAAAACGAGCACAGGTAAACGCCTAAACATCTCTATAAAAACATTGTATGCTCCACATATATGACCTATACTTTTTACCCTTACCAAACTACGCAACTGATGAATGAAGTTCACTGCAGCTGCAATCTGGCATAAAGTGAACTGAGAATTTTAAGTCCTGCCTTTGAAGCAACGCTTTGTACGACAGGTACTCCAACAAAAGAGTGACCATTTACCATTCCTACTTCAATAGGGTCCTTGACTGCTAAAGAGAGAGTTGCAGTTTTTTATTCTCTTCGGTTCAGGTTCACCTAACTGCAACGAAACAGAAATCTCTTCATCCGAGCTACTCTGCAATGCCAAAAGGTTTTTTGATACCGGATGTTCCTCTTGATTGCTTTGATTTATTGGAGATCTGTTGGTGGCACTGGGAATGAATTGGTGTTCTACATTAGGAGCAGTTTCAACACCATGTTCTATGCAAAAGTCACCGTGCATGAATGGGCGAATCAGTCCCTGACAGGACTCACCTTCAATTGGAATTTTCTGAAGATTGAAACCCAAAGGTCCAAAGTCATCTTCCAGCTTATCTTTAGAAGGGGGCCGGACAGCTGGGGATGACTCCCCAACTGTGGAACCAACCCCCACGGCTGAAGCATTTCGTTGCTCTTGGATAGCAGCTATGTTAACATAAAGCAGACAGGAGTCAGGAAAATATGCTGAACAAAGCCAAGGTCAGTAAAAACATAAAACTCTACTCGTTTTTTAAGAGTATGCACACTGTTCAACTAAAATCAGCAGAACCAAAAAAGAGGGAAAAATGCATTAAAAAAAAATGGGATGGTTTAGAAGCACAAACCTTGAAAGCCTTCATTGGTCGTTATCAGATCAAGATCAAGGAGCTGAAGAAGACGCCCAAGATCAACTCCACTGGTCCAATTTTCAGGCGGTTGGCCAATTTTTAGTTTCAAGCGACCACGGTTAGCTGTCCCACCCCAAATGATCCCAACCGGTCGTGGCTTCTCCCCATTCTCACCAGTCAATAGAATGAGGCTTCCACTATCGCCTTCAAGATCAAAACTCTGCTGATTCTCTCCAACAACAAGAAAATCAGTAAAGAAACATATCCCTTTTTCATCATTGTATTCTAGGGCATACGCCATGATGGTCCCAGTCGTCAAGCCTGAACTTCTCCCAACTTTCATTACTTGCCTTCCAATAAGACTGTTGATTGGAGACTGCAAGTCTATGGTGTTGACATCACCAATCTCACCTATGCCTCTTACATTTGTAATTACATTGTTCATGTTGAAATCTTGGCCAAAAGGAATGAAGGCACCATCAGCTCGCACAAATGTTTCTGCAGGGGCACCAAATCATAATAGGCACATGTCGGGGTCAGAACTTGATGAGAAGCCCAATAGAGCAAGTGTGAAGTTGCAGAAAATGAGAAACTACAAATTATCTTGTCCAGAGTGCTGCTCAAATAATATGTGGAAGATCAAACTCAACCTTATAACAAGACCAACTGTATGCTTGTGCCTTATACCTTTCATACCAAGATGTGCCTTCCCAATACGGATCAATTGAAAGCTATTATGTCTTAGACAATGTAGACACAAATTAAATAATTAAGATGTAAACATATTGGGTTATTTTGCGAGGACAAGGCACAAGGTACATAAACTGGTTTCTTCAACTAAGTGATGATAGCCTCTACTGTCCTTATCTAATTTTCCCCTATTTTCAAGTAACACTTTTAACCTCATAAACTATAGCTACTGACTATTTGCAACGGCAGATGCACATAAGCTTTTCTAATGGCCAAAATTTGAAACTCCATTACCTGGGTTTGTTCCAGCAAATATTCCGTACCAAAGATCATCTGTGATAAAAGATGTTGCCCTCTCCACAGCGCCAAGATACACCCCAGGTCCAAGGCTTGGTGGCAAAGGATGAAACATTTTCTGGTTTGGATAGTCCAAATCAACAGCCACATGCCGATTTGTGAGAAAACCAACCTGTCGATTTCCTGTTCGGCTTTTAACAATAGCACCCAGAGTTCCATACGTTTCCTGGCTAGCAACCTAAAGAAGAAGAAAATCAATTATGTAAACTTAAATAGTTGAGACACAATGTACAGACAGATCCCTGATCAACAATTTGACATTTAGGGTATATGATAAGTTTTGTAAATTCACTGATATTCCTAAAGCTTAAACAGTTGGGAATCTTCGGATGCAGGCCAATATTCTAATACTCTCCCTCATGTTGGGCTTTTCCCTAGCACTAGTGAGACCAACACATAAAACTCAACATAGAGAGGTTATACTGGAATGGATATGAACTCAAGATCTCCCACTCTAATACTCTGATAAGTTTCATCAGTTTACCACTGTTCCCAAAAGTTTCAGTTTCTTGAATTAGAAAGCATATAGCGAACCATAAATCCTGTATTTTTAAGAGTAATGAGCAATTACTGGCCAAATAAGACCCATCCAAATCTTATGTACTGATTTTGTTTGGTATCAAATCCAGCATACCAATTACTGGCCAAATGAGAAGATCCAGTCTCATACTCTAAGTGTTTGAGGATATGAACCAAACCAATTACATGACAGGCATCATCCCTGGAAACCCATTCGCTTGAACTCAAGCAAGCCAAGTGAAGCAAAGATAACTCTATTTAATATTGCAAAGTACCTCACCAATTCATTATGTCATCATTGGATAGTCTTTTAATGGAGCTGTAAAGACCTCAATAA